TACGGAAATTTAATCACTTATAAGTCTGCGCGGGTATTTGCACATAAATAGCGGAGCTTTCCGTAAGGTAAATGCAGAAAATTTTAGCCATTTATCTTTCATGGTTTGTGAATAATGAGACAAACTCATCAATCTTTGTTTAGAAAAACGGAGCTTACGCTTTTCTGTAGACATATACTCTGACCAATTTGAATCATGCTCAATACCGACCTGCGTGCAGAAACTTCCAATGTTTCGACCAAATTTGAAGTCGATACTGTAGTGAAAACACAATTAAAGGTTAGTTTTAATGATTATTTATTATTGACTACTTTATATCTGACTATCTGACTATCTAACTTTACTGAACTGTGGTCAGTAATTTATATAATAACTTATTATGCTAACTTAAGCAAAATAGTGCAATTAAACTAGGCTATTACTAAAGTTACATGTAAAGCTAGATTGCGTTATATTAACTAGGTCATAGCTTTACTTGCAGTATGTGGAAATATGTAGGACATATTACTAGGTTAACTAGGTTATAGCTACGTTTACATTATGTGGAAATATAATAAAGTGTGAACTAACTATAAATGATTATTGAATGGGTAGATGGCGATAAATCGATAATGCTACAATACCTTTATTTTTGCCATCAGAAGAGTGTTAGCGTGCTGCAGAAGTCAAACCCCGAATTTCCGTAGTTTTTGCCCTTTGGGGCACGAACTCCCCCATCTTTGTTGAATCGTGTCTGCTCTTCCGTGCCTCCATCAAAATGCACCATCGACCTTGAAAAGTGAATAGGCTTAATTAAAATTTTTGAAAAATAAGTTTAGTGTTCATATACATCAGTGCTCCTTCCAACAATATTTCTCGCCTTGCAAGGAATATCATTGCATTCTTGTTTGTTTGGATCGAGTAGAGCGCTTTAGGGTTGAGTACTGTAGTGCTGAGTGCTTTTCTAAAAAGTACACTCTATTACCTGAAAGTATTTGATTGATACACGTAGGTAGCGCTTTAAAATATTTCACGGCTTACAAAGGATCCAACTATCACTTCGATTCCATTTCCAATGAGCTACCATCTAAGGTCTTTCTCTGGAATGCCTCGATGCATACATTGGGGCTCGATTCAGTTTACTGCCATAATATACATATTTTTTACACATTGTCCATAATTATACCAAACAACACATGTTACGTAATGTAATGTAACGTAAGAAGATTTGGAGCATCTCGCAGAGGTCGTCTTACAAAGTTTCTTTTTTGCCAATTTCTATGCTTCTCTACAACCAAATGACATAATATTTTCTGCATTGTCTACTGAACCCAGTTGTATTCCGGGTTCAGATGATGTTCCATCCTGTGCTGCTTTAAGGTTGGTTAGATTCCTTTAGCATAGAAAATTAGTTTTATTATTCCTAGTATAAACGTTGTTTTGGAGACAACATTAATAGTTACAGGAGCATTACGAATTCAGTAGCTAAGTTGTAGGAAACTTTATTGCCTGCGAGATTATCACCGGCTATAATGTCATTTGATTGCATTTGATTGAGTGAGACTTGAACTTTCGACCTTCAAGCTTCTTCGACTGGGTTTACGTAAGCTACAATGAGTTTTCCGTTACCAACACTAAATCGGTTTTAGGCTTTATTAAGGGATCGGCTAAAGAATTTAGGACCCGTATATTTGCAAACGTCACTGCGCTTGTTCGTCCGATACTCTCGTTGTGTTGACACCTTATTATCAATGCCACGTTGATCAAATTGAACCTGTTCAGAAAGGTGTTCTTCTCTTGACGCGGTCCTGCCTTGGGATTCTAATAGACTTCTTCCGTCATATGAAAGCAAACCTAGCCTGATACGGTTACCGGCATTGGTCAGCAGAGGGGAAATGGTTGGGGTGGTTTCTATGCTTAAATTGATTCCGGGCTGATTTTCCTCTTCTTATCTATTAAACATTGCCGATATCGATGGTCCGCGTCGATCTTTACGTAAATGCATTTCTTTGAGACTGTCTCATTGCCAAAAGAAGCTCGATGTTTGGGTGCCACACCAATTAACAGAAAAAAACATGGTGGATCGCATTTCCCTCTGCGAAGCCTTGGCCAAACGGAATGAGATAGACCCATTTCTTAAACGGATGGTGACTGGAGATGAGAAATGGATTACATACGATAACCCTGTGTGAAAACAATCGTGGTCAAAGAGCGGTGAAGCACCTCAAACGGCCAGGAAGGTTTTGCTATGCATTTGGTGGGACTGGAAGGGGATTATTTAGTATGAGGTGCTTCCATATGGCCAAACGCTAAATTCTGATCTCTACTGTCAACAACTGGACCGTTTGAAGATAGCGATTGACCAGAAACGGCCATAATTGGCCAACAGGAGAGGTGTCGTGTTCCACCAGGACAACGCTAGGCCACACACATCTACAGTGACTCGCCAGAAACTTCGGGAGCTTGGTTGAGAAGTTTTAATGCATCCGCCATACAGTCCGGACTTGGCACCAAGCGATTATCATCTTTTTCTTGCATTGCAAAATTTCTTTAATGATAAAAAATTGGAATCTAGGAAGGATTGTGAAAATCGACTACTAGAGTTTTTTGCAAATAGAGACCAAGACTTCTATGAGAGAGGCATTTTGAAGTTACCTTTAAAATGGCAACAAATCATACAACAAAACGGTGCATATTTGACCCAAATCGGACAATCCGAAGTATGTTAAATAAAGTCCTGAAGTTCATATAAAAATAATGGATTTCTTTTTCCCCAAACTAATATTTTGTTCCTAGATCCTAATATAAGAAAAAGTAAAAACACATTTCTTGCTACTGACTTTTTTAAAATCTTTTTATACGCGCGTTTTAGGCAAGTTTTAGTTTTTAATCATATATTAAGTTACATAAAAAACGAATCGAAAAGAATAAGCTATTTTTAATATCCTAATATATATTCTTTTCTACAAATAAATTAAATAAAAGTTTCTGAAAATAGCTAAATAATTCTGAGAATCGAGATTTTCAATTTTTTGAACTAATGATATCGGCTTGCTATTTTTTGGAAAAGTTGATGGCAATTGTAGAAATACAACATCTCAAATAATTAGTCATTAGTTCGTAATTAGTCATAAAGGGAGACTCGGATAGAATAGCCGACAGAACGGGAAACATTGCAGGATATGTCTTTTGCCGGTTCAAAGCGTTCATAATGTTTATTATTAAATAAAGCTTTATATACTCTAAGGCGAGCTAAGAAGACTGCGATGGCAGTAAACAAGCCGTAGAGTTTTTTAAGTCCATTTGTAGAGTGTGGAGTCAATCGCATCAAGGACGGACGGTAAATTTCCCATTGTTTGTCGTCTGCGTGAAGCGGTTTAGTATCCACTTTATTAGAAAAATAAAAATTGACTTGAAGGATATTATCAAATTTTCTGATTCTAAGTTCAATGTATTAGTACTTCCGTAAGTGAAAAATGGAGGAAGCATAGAGTTGCTTTCAGTAAATTGCAACGCTGCAATTCTGTTAAAGTGATATAAATTGTAGCTGCCATTCTGTTAATAAGAAATTTCTGCTACAATTCTGTTAAATTAGAAATTCAGGATTGTTCAGTTAGAACATCTGTATTATTACCCGGTTTCTATTGACATTTAGTTGGATTACTTTAAACAAACCCAATTGCCCGACAATAATGATAATAATAACAATTCAGTATCATTTTCATTTAAACTGCGGTTGTACGGCACGGATAATTTAAAAATTTGAAAGCGGAGTATAAATGAAAGCACTTTTTCACGTGAGGAAAATTCGTAGCATGTTTAAGTAACTTAATTTGCAAACTAGCTAATTTCACCATTAACTGGTTCGAGAGACATACGACTCTGTATACCATAACCTATTCGGCGCTTGTAATCACAGATCTAAAAAAGGAACAATACTTATTTATGTGCGTATGGTAATTCGTTTAAATTCGTTTGTATATTTACTACCATCGCTTACACAAGAGCGGAAAAATATAAATTTATAAGTTCATTTTTGTTAAACCTTTACAAACTCTCAGTTTATTCTACTTTTCTTCTTGGATGTTAGAAGGACTTGGTCTTTAAAATGTCGGCTACATGTAACCCCATGTAGCCCCATTCGTCAACATTACTTGATCATTTAAACACTTGATTATTAAACACCTTACTTTTTTGGTTTGTTTAGTAGAATGGACTAGGTCTGGTGACGATAAGACATATATATTATTTACCCCTTTTTATTGATAATGGCGGTATATGATAATGTATGGAAACATTGATGATACAGAATTTACTATACGTTTTGGCGAATTTACAATATTATTTAGACGTTTGAACTAAAAAGCAAAGAAAAAGAAAAAAAAATAGCTAACTAAGCTTTCACAAATTTACAATTGCTAGTTTGGTGTAGCTGTTTGTTTGTAAACAATTTTGTTTAGAGTTTCAATTTTTTCCTTCCCCTTCTTAAGTTTTCAACGAATAGATAATTTGCCGTGTTGGTATATAAAAGGCTCAATGTGACCACGAAGTGCTTTGCATGAGACTGAATAAAGTTAGCGATTAACTTAACCTTTGGTTTTTTTTTTGTAAATGATACTAGCTGCTGTTGTTGCATTTTGCTTTTTCTTGCGTCCGCCACGCTTTTCTTCCTTTTTTTCTTTTCCAGCACTACCGCCACTGTATTTTTGGTTCGACGTATGGCTTTACTGGGTAGTTGATCCCGTATACGCCTATATGCGAAGGCTAAATAACCAATATTAACTCAAAACAACCAAACAAATGCAAAGCATTAGCTCTTCAGTTTGTAGATTTGGCAAATATGAGAGCGACTCTCGCGCCTATTATACATATAGTAAAAATATTCGATACTCGAAAATGAACCCTAGATAACGCCACACGTAAGTAAATGTTAATAAACAATCGATTAATATTAATCAAATGCTGCGCAACAAATTGGAAACTCTGTGCGCGAGTCATATGTTTATATTAATTACAGTGTTATTTTGCACACAATCACTGGCAGATCATAGACCAAATGTTTCCGGACTCTTTTTATGTTTTTTTGTTATTCCGCGGTTTACGCATAATTGTGGAAATTACAAAAACATAGTTTGTGATTCAGGAGGTCGCAGTACGTTGTTATTATAACAACAGAGTGTAATGCCACAGTGTAAAGAACCAATTATTAAAAATTTTAAAAAATTATAAAGGTGTAAAAAAGTGGAAGATAAAATAATTAAAATTTTTTTGTGTGAATTTGTCGAAAAATGCAAAGGTAGGATGAAAGATGTTTTTTTAATAATGTAGTTATAAATTAATTTAATTTGATTGCAGAAACATTTGAAGAGTAAGAACGACTCGCTTCTATTTCGTACTTATTCAATGAAAGACTTTTAGATTACAACCATTAAAATGCAGCGTATATAATTTTGCATGCTGCATTCTGGACAATATCTTTATGGAAAGCCGAATTAATGCTGAAATGGATTCAAAATCAACTAATTCTGGGAACGACGCTATCACCATCGACAATCCAAACGACATCCAAAAGGAATTAGTACAACATACATATGTAACGGAATAAAATTTGTCCTGATAGTCTTCTAATGTATAAAGCTGTTATCTACGAAGACTTTAAACAATGTTTCGCTGTTCTGGGGCCATTCTTCACACTCCATGCATAAAGGTCTCCTTTCCAATAATTTGTATTAGGAAGAGGCCGAAGTATGTATTTGAACATGTCTTAAAACCTATTTTACTCTCATGATTAGACAAAAGTTACCGTATTTTTTGTCTTTATTTTATTATTCCACTAATTCGTTTCAGTTACTTTATTAATATATGGAGATATTCTTTCCTCCTTTTTCCTTTATATTAAAACCAACGCGCACCGGCGACTTCACGTCGTAACCGACGTTTTAGGCGGAATCGACGACAGAATCGGGGAGCAAATTGAAAATTAAAATTAAAATACCGAAAGAAAAAAAAAGGGGCAACGAAAAAAAAAATGTTCTACAAATAAACATAAATTTTTGAATTTAATAACTCAAAAATTTAGTAAACATACTTTTAACAAATATGTTTGAAATTCTTTTTTTATCAATAAATTTTTTATTGTTAGCAAATTCCAGAAAAGTCGAGAATAATTTTGCATGCTTTTGCTCACAATCCAACTGACGTACACCCTAATAAGGGACAATGGTATGAAATTCTCAATGATCCCGAATTTTATGGCATTTGGTTAAAAGATGTAAAGCTTATGTTTTCCTGGAATTACATTACAAACCTGATTGGTATGTTTTGCTGTACAGGCATGAAGGCGGATCAAGTAGAGCGTGGAATGCAATTTATGCTTTTATTCTAAACTCGTTTTTCGACCATTATGCATATGGCCACGTTAATTGGATGATCAAACTTCGTTTCAGATATTTTTATTACGTGAAAAATGTTTCTCTCCAATTTCGGGGTAGTATCAAACTAAGAAAAACTTTAGTTTGCAGAATTCAATAAGTACAAAGTATAGCGAACAAGCTGCCCCAGCGTGGACATTACGAGATTAAAGAACGTCATCAATTTTTTATAGATTTCTTGGCGCAATTACAAGAAAGGCAACAGTAATGTAAGAAGAAAAAAAATGGTTAAACTAAGAGGCCACATGAGATCGAGCAAAGATTTATTCCATAAGCGTTGTAGGTCGATTATAGATCGTTGAATGTTTCTGAATATCAGAATTTGTTTTTAAATAAAACTCTCTAAAATTTATACATATCGCTAGTACAAAGAAATAAAAGAAAATTGAACTCTCAAAATTCAAAATGCCTCTCAAAAAATGTGAACAAATGTCAATGAAAATTGCCAAAAACCAAAAGACATGTGCCTGAGAACGACCAAAATCTAAAGGAAGTACTCATACCACTTATATCAATAATCAAAAAATTCTCTACGCAACGTTTTTATTTTGTTGTCGTTTATATTTGACACATTTGCATGAAAGTTTTACAAGAAATACCTGTAGCATAATTTTCTGTTTAAATTGTAGTGTGGTCGCTTACCGTCATATGCATCCACTTTGAAGTGCAAAAAAAAAGAAAAAAAAATTTTATCGCACTGCAACTGGCTGCGGACTGCATTACGAAATGCAATACAATGCCAGGCGCCCCAATTAATCAGTGATTACGTTAGCATAATGTCACCTGGTAGAATCAAGTATATATAGTGCAATTTTAATAAAGAATTTTAATTGTTATCAAACAGTTCAAAATAACAAGCGTATTAATCCGCTGAAATCTCAAAGGGGTTCAATCCGCCCAAGGTAAGGTCATGAAGTCGAGCACAATAGAAAATCAAACATAACACGACTCACACCTCATCCCTTACATCATTACAAAATACAATTGCTTTATTGTATACAAAAACCATATAAAACTCGAATTTGAAATTTCAACAGATATCAATTTATTTTATTTTACTTGGTCGTTGCTGTTACCAAAAACTAGTGTGAATGTCTCTCAAAATTACCAAAAACCAATCGACATGTGTCTGAAAATGAACATATACATATGCTTTTTAATAAAAGTAAACAAAAGCTAAAAAAAATTCTCTACGCAACATATTTATCATCAGCACAAGAGAAAGAGTAAAGAACTGACAGGAGGACATTTGCTGAAAATTGTAGAACAAGTACGCGTAGAGCTACACTATTAATGTGTAATATGTGTTTTAAGGGCTCATATTTTCCCGTTTCAGTTTGACGCAGCTACCATAAATTATTTTCTATATATTCTACATGTGGTTCTCTCTTTCATTACAGCTCGACGCCATGACTATCATGAATTATTTTCTATACAATATGAAATCTTTCTCACTTCTATTTCAAATTAACTTTTTAAAAATAATGCATGAATTATTTCATTAAAATTAATGTTTCAAATAAAAGTCATAGTTTTTTACTGCTCTAAGTCATTTATAGGACGTTCAGTTAATTTTGAAAATGATTCAAGTCAAGTCAAAGTTTAAAAAAAGCATTTTTTGTCAAATGCACACAAAATTTCCTGTTTATATAAAGTTTCCATTAATCAAGACTAATAAAATTCTAAATTAAAGTATCGCGTGGTGTAAAAATATTTTTTTATGTATTTAAATTTACATTTAAATACAATTCATTAAATATTTCGAAACATGAAATATGTGACTTTTGTTTAAAAATGGTAAATTTTAGGAGTAAGATTTTGCAGCATGCAGATAAATATATAGAGTAGTTATTGTATGAAAAGAATTATTTGGCAGATTCGCCATGTAAGAATTGGATAATCAAAAACAGTTTTTTTTATTACGTTGCTAGCGCAACTCTCGTTAAAGGCTGCAATGTTAACTGCAAGTATCCGAGTAGAACAATAAAAACAATTTTTAATTGAAAAGAAAGACTTAACTATTCTTGTACTATAATAGCTGAGTTAATGCGTTGATCTTTATTTTTAGTTGTGACTTATATAAAATTATAACTAAAAGATTATGTAATAATGTTTTTTTATAAAAAGAAAAAAGGTCTTATTAATGCCTAGCTCTTCATCGGTAGAGCGGTTGCCCTCTGCCCGCGATTCTACATCATAACAAAAAAACATCATCACATATTAAAAAAAAAGGATTTTTTCTTGCACAGTATACTCATGTCGTGTGTCCGGTACCTCACCCATTGGTCTTTTCTTCGTCCGTCTGTATCTGTCTGAGGTCCTCCTACCTTTCCTCATGCGCTCACGTCCATCGCACTCCCGCTACTGCGGCAGCACTTTCATTTTAGCCACTCATCGCGGCTCATATGCAAACCGAAGACAACAAAAAAAAAAGGTAAATACCTGACCGTTGTGTGAAGCAGCAGATCCAGCGGCAAATCGTTGGGGTTGTTGCTCCCAGTGGACTATCCCAGGATGAGATGAAGGTGCCAATCGCGCTTTCCTTACTCTTTAGCAGCCCCGGCCCTTAATGCTTTTTGTCCCACTGAACAGAACAGCTGCGCCTCCTTATCCTTCCTCCAATGAGCACCTTCTTCAGTGGTAGCAACGACAAATGGTGTACGCATAAGCAGTGGTTTTGTTAAATATTTCTTCCCAAAACATTTTCCTGCTTTCCTTTTAAGACTATTTTTTGGTTACCGTGTTTTCTTTTTGTTTGCTCCAAAATTAATTCATTAACAATTTTTCATTAACAATTTTTCTCAAACATCATGTATTTTCACATTTTCGCACCTTGGGAATTGAATTAATTTCTTTGGGATCTTTCACTACTTTATTTCTGGATCCACTTCATAGGCCATTTTACTAATACTAAACCGTAGCAATAAAAAACTGCAAGTATTTTAAATCCACTGTTTATCGATTTATCATAAATTTCCACAATTTTACAAAGTAACTTTTCCACATTTTCTCGGCATTAGATGCTTAGAAAACGTCTTTTATTTATTTAGAAAAAAAAATTACTATCTTTGCGTTTATTTGCTTTTTGCTTTGTTTCAGCTTTGTTTTCCTTCTCGTTAATTCGACGTCGGTAAGGTGAGTGTCCCACGTCTTTTGCGACATGAGATCGTATTATGTGTAATATGGATCTGTTGACTCGTTCAGCTGCGTTTGCTTGCGGTGCGTAGAAGCCTGTCCTGATGGACGTCATATTTCTGCAGGAACTCCTGAATAGCCACTAAAACGAAGTGCCATTATCTGAGTGTATCATTTCTAGCACTCCAAATATGTGGAAAACGTCTTGCTCCAAGTATCTGATCACTCCCTCGGCACCAGCTTTCCTCATTGGTTTTAGAAGCACGTACTTGGAAAACTGATCCAGGCAGACGAATATACAGGTGTTGCCGTGCAACAGCACACCTCACAGCTGCTCACCAAGTCTCTCACTTCAGTTGCCATCCCGGGCCAGTAATATCTTTTTCTTAGCCGCTGCAAGGTCTTGTGCGTCCCTCCACGCCCTGCCGATGGTGATGCATGCCCTGCTGCTACTAAACGTGGTCGAAGTTCTTTTGGCACCCACAATTTCCACGCGTTGTCATCCTCGACCTCGTCCCTCGTATTGAAACCTGTCTTTTTGTAAACTAACCCGTCAGACACGCAGATGTCGGGAGGTTATCTCCATTCTCTGCGACTGAACGCTTTAATTGGTTGTACTCTTTGGAGGCAAAGTGCGGAGAGTCCAGGTCTACGTCAAGTAAACGGTCACTGAATACTCGGTCAAATTCATCCGCGACAGCACATCTGGGTCAACGTTTTGGCTGCCTTTTCTATGCCCAACCGTGAAGTCTAATGCTTGCAGCTTGAGGCTCCATCTCGCTTATCTATCTGATAGGTCCTTATGCGACATAAGCCATTTCAGGCTGGCATGGTCAATAATAATTGTGAAGGGAAGCCCCTCAATATACGGCCGGAACTTCTCAACGCACAGTTTGACCGCTAGGCACTCTAGCTCTGTTACCGTGTAATTCTTTTGCGCTTTATTTACCTTTGCCGATGCATGCGCAATAGGCCTCTCATTCTCTTCGCTGTCTATTTGGAATAGGACTCTTCCCACGCCTTCTTTTGACGCATCGCATTGTACATAGAAGTGTTTTGTAAAGTCTGGCGTAACCAGGACTGGCGCTGTGACAAGACATTGTTCCAATTGGTCAAAAGCTTCCAGGGCTTTCTCTGACAGAGCGAAGTTCTTCGACCGCTCTTTTTTGAGACAGTTTTGCAATGGTCCTGCGATTGCCGTGTAGTTAGGGATGAAACGGCGATACCTGCTCGTCATGCCAATGAACCTTCCGAGCTGTTTCGGAGTTTTCGGCACGGCAAAATCGGTCATGACCTCTACATTGGCGGGCTCTGTTTTTAATTGTCCGTTTCTCATTATAAATACGGGGTACTTCACTTCCCTGTAGCAAAACCTGCTTTTGCTAACGTTAATCGTGAGGTTGGCATCTCTTAGGCTTTTGGCTACCATGGCTAGGTACATGAGGTGGTGATTGAAATCGGTTGAACAGACCAACAGGTCGTCCAGACATACAAAGATGTTTTCACGGAGACAGCCCGGTATAATTTTATCCATCAGCCAGCACACGCGCTGCGCTGCATTGCACAAGTCGAATTGCATCACTGTGAACTGATACAGCGGCCTTCCTGGTACTGTAAACGCTATTTTCTCTCGCGATTTCTCCTCCAGCGTAATCTGCCAAAAAGCATCCTTGAGATCGATCTCTGAAATGTAATGAGTGTCTTGCAATCGACTGAGTGATCCTTCAATATGTGATAGTGGATATGCGTCTTTGACAGTCCGTTCGTTTACCCTCCGCGCATCTAAGCATAAGCGGTTTTTCTCACCCTTCCGCACTAAAGTCATTGGGAAGCTTCAGCTACTGTTGCTCTCTTCTATTACTCCCACCGCTAACATCCGGTCCAACTAATGCTAAACTAACTTCTGTATTGTCGGTGAAATTGGGTAGTGTCGCTGCTTCACGGGCAGGTTGTCTTCAGCAACGGTGTTCACATGTTGTTCTACGTGCGTTTTTCCGAGCCCAAGCTCCGCAAAAGATGGAAAGGTTGCAATAACTTTGTCGAGGAAGCTTTGTTGCATCTCAGTCAACTGATGCGGCGAATTCAGGTACCTTGCAGGGCTGCCGTGCTCTTGGCTCATAGACTCTACAGTCTGGCTTCTACTTGGGGCATTAGGGGTAGTGCCTGCCCTGGTGGCGACGGATAGGCCAAAAGCCTTCCAGAAGTCTATGCCAAAATAGAACTGCTGCTGTATATCTGGAACTATGAAGAATTCTATGTTTCGGGTCTCCCCTTTCCATTCGACTGATAAGGTGATGAGCCCTGATACCGGTGTTTTATTTCTGTTTGTGGTTCAAACATGCTGATTTCGCAGCTTCACGATCTTGTGCCTTCGGCTCTCGAGAAATTCTGTTGCTCCTGCCACACAGTAACTGACGCTGGCTCCTGTGTCCAGAAGGGCGGTTACTTCAGTGTCGTCGACCTCGGTTCGAGCAAACACCCTGTCATCGTGCTCTAGGGTAACAACTGCTGAGACCTCCTTTCATTGAAACCCCCTGTATGCCTTCCTCCTTTGGCGTAACATCAGAATTTTTTTATATTTTCTGGTGAGCGCTCGTCTTTTACGTATCTTAGCGCTGAATATTTCGTGGCGTTTCCGCTGGTAGTCTGCGATCCTTTGTGCTAAGCTTCTGCAAGTGGCGAAGTCTTGCCCCGTTGTTGGTGTTGGTTTGCGTCTCTCTTGTCACCTTAATATTGTTACTGCAGTTGTTTCGGGTGATGTCTCGTCTAGCAGGGGTTCCCGGATTGCCCCGCCAGTCTGGCGTTTTTCGATGTGGATAACGCACAATAGCGCGAAGCAAACCATGTTGTGGAAGGGACACTTGCATCGGCTTTCTCTAGTGCCTTCCGCTGGATTTTTAAAAAAAAAATCACCTGGCCTACCGCACACATAGCATACCGTCAGATGGAACGACGACTGGCAGAAGGAAATGCTCTGCGCTGTAGTCACTGCGATCGCTGGCGCTTGCGTGGGGATATGGTGCTGTGATGTTGCTTTTGCGGCCGCTTCCACTTGCTTTGGCTGACCTGCACGTGATGTTGTTGGTTGCAGCTGGTATCACTCGTGCCTATGCTTATTTGTGATGTACGTGTTGACCCATCTTCTATTGTTTTTCACGACCCCGTCGTTTCCGCGCTGCCTGTCGTTGCTTTTGTCATGCCGAGGCATAAAAGCTTCAACTGCCTCGCGGTGAGCGCCATCATTCCTTTCACCTTCCTGACCGATTTCACTTATATGCTTTAGCCTGCCTCTGCTCTCTTTCAACAGTTTTTCTGCCCACTTACACGCTGCCTTGAACTCGCCAACAATTTCTACCTTGATGGCAAAGATAAGTGTTGCCAGGCTGGGCTTAACATTCGATTTCATCACCTTCATCCACTCCGGTTCTGGGATTTTTCTTCGCAAGCGGAAGGTTAGGTCGTGTATCTCCGCGTACTAATCCTCGAAACTCTCGGAGTGCCATTGTTTCCGCTCCATGATCTCCCTTATCAATTAGGGAAATTTCAGGGAAAAATAATCGAACGTGACGTCTCCTTCTCGATCTTCCAATAGCTACCAGTACCATTTGCTTGCTTGACCGGTCACTAGGCAGCGAAACTCGGTAAATAGCTCCTCGTGGCTTATCTGCTGCTGCTTTGTGAGCCGTTCCACTCGGAAAACAAAGCTCTCGACCGTGAGACCCTTGCCTGAGCCGTCGAACTTTACGTGCCAGCGATTTAAATCTACGTTTCGCCCCCGGGCGTTCTCATCGCTGGTTCTTGGTTGCTTCGTCTGCTGGTTGCGCTGTACTGCTTGGGGATTGACACTCGGAAATATTATCGTCTGGGTGGGCACAGCCTGATTTGGTGTCGATGTCGACGCTTCCATTGCGAAATTTTGTGCTCCTTCGCTCTCTCTTAGCTGACTTTGCCGGTCTTCCGTGCATGTCTCTCTCTTCAGTTTCCCGGTTTCCTGCATGCAGCTTAGCAGTACTTCACTCTGCTGCTTCAGCATTTCCATTGCTGGTTAGAACCGGCCGTTTCAGCTGGTGGACCTGGTTGATTGAGACCATTGCTATCATTTTCCGTGGTATTGCCACTGGTGTCGTGGACGTTGTCTCGTGACTCGTTGTCAGACATTTTAAACTAGGCGTCTAATTTCCTGCCAAGGCTGTTGAAAATTGCTCCTGCACTGCTGCGGGTACAACACTCTTCAATAGCGTTGCTTTTTCCGAACTGAAAACGTCGAAACTCGCGATCGAACCGTGTCGCTAGCGACTCGTCTGCCGTATGCAAGGCGTTGTTTGTGCCGATGCTAGGCTTCAATTAAGGTAACCCGAAATAGTGCGACTTTAACCCTGTCTCCCTGGTGAAATAAAAGAAAGAACACCTTCCCGAAGTGAGACTTATAGAAAGAGAGCTGTCTGGAAAGGTATGTTACTCTGTTGTTCCGTATAACACAAATCAAGTTAAATGATACAGTTTATTTTCCTTACACACTATATATATCTCTAACTAGTTTATGAAGCTTATTTTCTTTACACACTATATATATCGGTAACAATTTTATAAAAGTTATGAATTTTGTATTCCGCTGCACCGGAGTACGGTGTGGATGTGCGCCCAAGGTGAATAACAGCAACACTTAGTTTATCAAGGTGAATGATAGTAGGGTACTTAACTTATTGGTATGACTCGACCAAAGTGTTGCGTCTGGTCATACCAACTTGTCTACTTTTGTTTCTTCCAGCACTTGAACTGGACATAAGCGAATTAATATAAACAGCGACGACACACTTCAAGGTCTGGATTACGTAATCAGCGGTATTGTTGTCTATGGTCAGTTATACAGAAACAGATAAACATAAAAACATGACTGTGCAAATGCAAGTGCATGAACAAATCGAACAACGCTACGTTAATAAGTGCATATACAACCAAGCATGAATGTGAAAATAAAAAGAATGAAACGTGTTGACTTAAAATAAATAGTGCGAATAAAAGACACACACTTAAACCTAAGCAATAGTACACACACACTTCGCCGAAGTGTATGCAAACAAAACAGTCGAACGAAGGACAGACTTCTTGAATGCGGACACAGCAACAGGAGCGCTAAGAAGACCAAGGAACATCAAACCGTCTTTGTCTTCAGAGTACGAAGTCTGTTGACTGCATTCAACATGCTACTCAGCAGCTACCCCTTGACGTCCGAAAAAAAGAATGGACCAAAGCGGGTTCTTCCACCGACAGTAGCAGCCACCGCATAAATTTATTTGGCTACATTCTATTTATTCTTCGCACAAGCAAAAATTTCGAAGAACCCTTCGATAAAAAGGTAAC